CAGATCCGACGGTGCGCAAGAGTACAGCACCGCACAAAATCAAAACCAACCCCCTAGACCCCATCTTTCTGCTGCCTTTTGTGAACCCGATCGATCTGTGATGATCCCGGGGCATGGAAAATCAGATGGCAAAGCCCGTGGAAACGCCGATCGGGCTCAACCGATCGATCGAACCAGGTGGAAAAACCTGGCGTGGAAAACTTGCAACGCTCGGATCTTGCTTTTTCTAATGCGCGGCTCCCGGAAGTCTCGAACCCCTCCCCACGGGGCCAACTTTCCACCCCGAGTTGCGTTTCGGTGGCCCAGGGGCCCAGCGACGGCCCCCACTGGCCGACAACTGTCAACAGCCATCCGTGCGAACGACTTCACAATTTCACGACTTCAGAACCCATACGACGACAATACATGTGCGAACCAACCTCAGTGCGACGCAACCTATCCGAACGAGATCCAAACATCACCTGGAACTTGACTTCTTCACGACGCGAACCTGTCTGGGGAGACCTCCGCGCTCGACCCTCGGCTGGCCGGGCCCTCTCCGAGGGGGGCGCCCGGGCCTGCGCGGCGAGCACGGCCCAGGGCCTCTCGTGGCCGCGGGACTCCAGGGCCCAGAACAGCTCCCCGCGCAGCGTCTCCGCGGCCGGCGTGGCGCCCCTGGCCTCTCGGGGGGCGCGGGCGGCGCCCAGCTCCCCAGATCTCCTACGTGTTGTTATGCTGTTGTTTGTTTGTCCTCTCTCTCTCTCTCTTTTCTTCAATCTGGGTGTACTATTCAGGAATGACCATCGACTAACATTACATATATATATATGTATATATACACATATGTATGTATGGATCTATATATATGTATATATACATATCTATGATGACAAACCTAGTAAGGCTAAGCTGGGGAATAGTAGTTATTGTACTACTAACACTCATAGTTATAATACCAATACGATAGATACGTGCCAAACATATAAAAGCAATATAAAAACGCCACGGCTTCTACTGCTACTACTACTACTACTACTACTACTACTACGACTAAGAATACTACTACTACTACTGCTACTGCTCCTGCTACTACTACTACTACTACTACTACTACTACCACTACCTCTACGACGACGACGACTACTGTTACTACTATTACTACTAATTCTACGACTACGACTACTACTGCTACTACTAGTACTGTTGGTACTACTACTACTACCACTACTACTACTACTACTACTACTACTACTACTACTACTACTACTACTGGTACTATTACTAGTACAAGTACCACTACTAGTACTAGTACTAGTATTCGTGCTACTACTACTACTACTACTACTACTACCATTACTACTACTACTACTACTACTACTACTACTACTGCTACTACTACTACTACTACTATTACCACTACTACGACTACTACCACCTACTACCTACTACCTACTACCTACTAGCTACTACCTACTACCTACTACTACTACTACCTACGACTACGACTACGACTACGACTACTACTAACTACTACTACTACTACTACTACTACTACTACTACTACTACTACTACTACTACTACTACTACTACTACTACTACGACTACGACTACTACTACGACTAAGACTACGACTACGACTACTACGACTACGACTACGACTACGACTACGACTACGACTACGACTACGACTACGACTACGACTACGACTACGACTACGACTACGACTACGACTACGACTACGACTACGACTACTACTACTACTACTACTACTACTACTACTACTACTACTACTACTACTACTACTACTACTACTACTACTACTACTACTACTACTACTACTACTACTACTACTACTACTACTACTACTACGACTACGACTACGACTACGACTACGACTACGACTACGACTACTACTACTACTACTACTACTACTACTACTACTACTACTACTACTACTACTACTACTACTACTACTACTACTACTACTACTACTACTACTACTACTACTACTACTACTACTACTACTACTACTACTACTACTACTACTACTACTACTACTACTACTACTACTACTACTACTACTACTACTACTACTACTACTACTGCGACCCAACACACAATACTACTACAAGTGAACAGATATTGATACACATGAGAAGAACAAGACAAAGTCGTATGGTAGGGCGACTACTAGTAATATGTATCGTCAGGCCCTGGCAGCTCTCAACCACAGACAGAAGAGCCCCACGCCCTAAAGTGCAACTCGGGAGTGGCGGCAGCCGTAGACGTATGATACAGCACCCTCCAAGTGAAAAAGGTGAGCGATGCTACGGCGACATGTTTTCAGCCCCTGCGAACCGCCTGGCGCGGCGGTGTTGGATCGCTGGCCAATCCTCCGCTGGCCAACCACCGGCCACAGAGCAACAAACGTACCCTACTCTGTTCGCACTCTAATGGGTTTGCAAGGCCAGTAACCCCATGGGGGGGTCGGGCGGGCCCGTGGACAACTTGAGCAAAGGTATAGCAACAGACGGGGAGAGAGAGCAGGGGCCAATATAAAAAACGATCGACGATCATATATTAGCGCCAGGCCCTGGCCCCCCTCAACCCCAGACCGAAGAGCCCCACGCCCTGAAGTGCAACTCGGGAGTGGCGGCAGCCGTAGACATATGATACAGAACTTTCCAAGTGAAAGAAGTGAGCGATGCTACGACGACGTGCTTTCAGCACCTGCGAGCCGCCTGGCGCGGCGGTATTGGGTCGCTGGCCAATCCTCCGCTGGCCAACCACTGGCAACAGAGCAGCAAACGCACCCAATCACCAGATCATGATGCTGGTAGGGTGCGGGGGCGGGCGGGGCTGGGAGAAAATCTTGCCCGCGCCTACCGCGGCACTCTCCGGACTCCTTCAAGCGCAAACCAGATCACCCGAGCACGGCGTCCACAGTCGATGAGGGCGGACGAGGCGAGGCAAAACGCTGCATAGCTTTCTGGCGGGCTTCCTTCGAGACAGCTCTCCTGCGTGCTAAGCCACTTGTTCACTTCGCCGCGGAAAATCATGGAAGGCACACTGGGCGCACTGTCATATGTAACTTTTGTTCTGGATGGCAAGGCTGAGCTCAGAATGCGCGCAGCCGGGGTTTGAGGGCCCTCGCGCAGCGCCCGCATCAAAGGCACCTCTCGGTTCCTTCAGGAAGGCCAGGCCTTGCTGCTTCACGTTGTCGGGCGCCTTGGCGCCGCGGCGACAGAGCAGAAAATCTGTGGTGGATCTTTGCGCGCTGCCCAAGGCGATCCATCTTCCGCGGCGCCTAATTTCCCCCCAGAACGTCTCCCCGACTCTGCGTCCGTCGAAGGCTGGCGGCCCGCTGAAGGTGATGTCCAAATCTTTGAGGGCCTTCCACCAGCGGCGCCGGCACTCCGCAATCGATATCGGGAAAAAGGAACTCGGCCACCTCCAGATGTTCTCTGAAACCCAACAGCATGTCACCAGCATAGGCACGATCCAGCAACGCTCCCTGGTTCGATCCAGTCTTCGCTCGTGCACCTCGCTCGCGAACTCCAAGGGCCAAGGCCGCTCTGCTACAGTCACCGTGCGCATCTTCCATGCGCAGCTGAGCCCAATCTTTTCCCCGTTGATATACGCCTCCAGAGAGCGTGACAGCTGGGCAGAAAATGTGTGCCATTTTCGCATCAGCTGCAAGACCACCGCACCAATTGTCTTTGAAGACAGTGGTCCACCTTCTGTCGGGAGTCCCAGCCTTTGCTATGTCTGCAGGGCCCTCGCCGTCTCTGGCACGCAAGCCTGTGCCCAGGAAAAAATCCTTGTGAAGCCGGAGGCGAGGTGCCCTCCTCTGGCCAAAGACCCACCACGAAGGTAGCAGAAGTCGCTGAGATAGTCGGCCATGACCCTGTCGCGCCCCTCTGGGGTCGTGAAGGGAACGCGTTCGCACCTCATCTGGACCAAGAACTCCCTGGCAGCAGCGAGGTAGATGTCGTTTGTCTAGTCGTCAACAGCGCGGACGTGGAGCCTGTTCGCGCCCCCCGCAACTCGTCCTGAAGCGGGGCGCTCCAGAGCTCCAGCCCTCGCCCGCCCGCCTCGGCCCCAGAGTGGATGACGCGGCTCTGGCATGGCCGACGCCCAGACGAGGACGTTGAACAGCGCGAGCCCGACGATGACCAGCGAGACCGGCGTCGGCCCAGTTGCTCTACTCGCCGACGCGCCCGCAAGCGGATCAGGACCAGTGTTCCTCATCAGAGCATCGCCTCCTCCTGGTGAAAGTGCCTCGGCGAGAAGCGTCGCAACGCTTTGGGGTTCCCTCCAACATTGCGCGGCCTCCGTGGCGTCGGCGGCCCCCGCGTCGAGCTGGCGGCTGGGGCCGTCGGCGAAGTTGAGCTCGCTCGGCGCGCGGCGCCAGGCTGGGCGAATGCGAATAGCTAAAACAATCGCCGCTACCCGCCTGCAAGCTGCAGCAGCTGATGCGCGCTCGACCTTCCTTTTGAAACAAACGACCCAGCATGGCGAGGCTGTCCGCGAAGAGCAAGATGCGCGTTCCCCACTTGTCTCGGGGCCTCGCCGCGTGCCTCGCGGCGGCAAGGGCGGCTCTCTCTTCCAGAATGTCGCTGCGCTCCTCCTGTGCCCACTTGCCGAGAAGAACTAAATGCCACCTCGCGATCGCCGTCTACTTCTCGCTGATGGTAGGCGCCGGCGCTTTCGAGCCTGGCGGGCCCGGCGCCGCGTCGCCCGCGGGCGGCGCCGTCCCCCCGCGAGGCAGACCTGGAACCAGCAGACGCACCGCCTCCGCATACTGCCTGCGCAGCTCCCGTTGGCATGCGCGAGCTCGCGCGGCCCACGGCGCGCCCTCGCTGTCCCTGCCGCGCAACTCCTGGTGCGCATGCCTGTGGTTGCACCGCTTGCCAAGGGCCTTCGGCCCCGGAGTTTTCGTCGCAAAGATGGTGGGCTTCTTCCAGTTCGCCCCAAAGCGGCAGTAATCCAGCAAGACCTTCTCGAGGCCCATGCTCTGCGCGAGCTCCACCATGGGCGGGGGCCCCCACGTCGTCGAGGAGGCGGGGTTCTCGAAGCTGAACAAGACCTTCTGCTTGATGCACTCCTTGGCAACGTCCAGGGCGACGAGGCGCAGACAGCGACCCATCTCGACGAGTCGCTCCGCGCGGCCGCGCGGCCTTGAAGCCCGGGAAGCCCCAAGGGGCGCCGTCGTCTGCGCGCCTTTGGCTGACGGGCTCGGCTGAACGAAGAGAGGAGCACGGGGGAGCCAAGTGGATGCACCAATGGCACCCCGCCCGCGTCCGCCCGATCAGGATGGCCACCCGAGTCGGATTCGACAGGTCGAACATTGGCCCAGAGATGACGTCCCAGCTCTCGACCTAGGAAAGGCGCATCTCCCGGATGACCGACTCGACGACGCAGGATCCTGCAAACAGCGACAAGCAACCTGGACGATACGAACACCGCTGACGCGCAACTCTTGAAGCAAGAGAAGCGTCGGCATCTCGATGTCCTTGTGCGTCAACGTCGACCTTGGCTGCTTCCAAGTCGGAGTGGATCCCTTCGAGCTTGACGCGCCGCCCTCGTCGCTATGCCCGGCGAGCCCCCGTGGCGATCGCGCCGTGCCCTGCGTCCGAGGCGTCCGTCATGAAGGCCCAGCTGTTCCACTTCGCGGTGAGATCCGCGGTGGGCATCGGAGGCAGCGCCACGCGGATTGTCAGCTCGGCTCGTGCGCTGGCCCAAAGCTCGCTCGCGCCCGCGACGCCCGCCTCGCTGGTGAACTGGTGAGAGCTCGCCAGAATAGCGAAGCCCACTCGCGATGGAAGCAACATCCAAACCCAGTTTCCAATCATGCGCTGCATCTCGCTGGAGGCGGCCTTGCCCCGTTGCAGAAGCGCCTTCGTCGCTGCCAGTGCTCGGGGCTGCTTCGGGGGAAGGGTCCTCAAGATGCTCTCCTTGGTTATCTGCGCGCCCGGGGAGGCCGAAACACGCTTGTCCACGACGTCCTCGTGCACTCGGAACCCAGCCTTCACGATACTTCCACCTCGCCAAGGTCTGCTGGGCCTCGAACTCGGTCGGCGACGCAGTCGCGCTGTCCGGCTGCCCTGCCGCGAAGTCGTCGATAAAGAGCTAAGCTGTCGAACTGCGGTGTAGGCGCCATTTCCACGAGTTGGCCTCCCAGCTCGATATCGTCGACCCCATCGTGGGCCACATCCTGCAAGGTCGAGCGCGCCGGGAACACCGACCAACTCCAACCCATCGGGGGCGCCTTCAGGGCCGCGTAGTTCCGGCTGGTGTCCACCTCCGAATCCCACGAGCGCCCCTCCTTCAGGCCCAAGTCCTGGAGCTCCGCCCTCGAGGACAAACCAAGGGTGGACCCAATCGGGCGTCTCGATGGTGTAGAAGAATCTGGCAAGTCGGTTTGGCAGGTCGTGAAGATCTGGCCCCCCGCGATCTCGTCGCTCAGCTCGATGTTGGCCATAGACACGGGCTCCCGAGTGGGATCCGCGGAGGCGTCTTCCAGCGGAGGATGCAACGACGCAGATCCCAAACCAGCCTGGTCTCCCTGCGCGCTTCAACTCGCATCTTGAGTACTGTGAAGACTGAAAGCTTCTCGCGCATCGTCGCGCGCGTCGCCGGCGTCCCCAAATCCCAGAGCTGGGGCGCCAGGTCGAGGAATGTCTTCTTGTCCTTCAGCTCGGGCGACATGAAGGCCGTGGTGTTGTCGTCCTTCGCCCAGTAGACCCTCTCGTCGTCCTCGATCATGTCCTTCGGGGTCGCGGAGAAGTCCGCCGCCGCGTGAGATGCCGGCGCCCCAACTGGACCGGCTTCGCCCCTCGCGGCGGCAGGCTGCCGCCGGACAAGCGCCCCCCCCGCTAGAGCTCCCCATCGTCGACCTTCTTTCTGCTGCCGCCCGCCATGCGGCGGGCCGAGCGGGTCAGCCGCAAAAAACAACAACAACAACAACTTCCTCTGACTATTCCTCCTCGACGGCAACCCAACGGCAGGCCCCCGTCCATATGTGCTTCGCGAGGCCCCGCGACGTCGCGGAAGCCGTCGCCCACGAGCCTGCGCCCGCGCATGGCGAGGCGCAGGCGTCAACGCGAAGTCCAACTTGCCCTGGTATAGCCCGCGGGGCGAGAGGGCGGCCTGATTCGCGCGCTCCAAGAGAACCTCGTTGGCCGCGTGCTTCGGCCTCCCCATCCTGCGCGGCCACTCCAAGGGCGACGCGTGGAACGGCAGGTTCGCCACTGGGCCCCGAGCATTGCCGTCGGACGAGCGCCCGACTGGGGAGGAAGCGGAACCCGATGTCACGATGTAGGCGGCGCTGATAATCAAAAATCCACAGAGCCCAGCAGCCGCGAATGCGAGCTGGCCGAGCGCGCGGCGCGCCGTTCGAGCGCGGGCCCCCCGACCTCGGGAGGCTGATGAGGAAGAAGAGTGGGAAGCAACTCGCCCGCCGCCCCCTCGCGGGGGCGGGGCCGTCCTGGACCTTCGACGCGTGCTTATTGAACGGCGCCTGCTTTGCCAGCCTGGGCCGCGACTCCTCGTCGGCCCCAAGCATTGTCAGCTCGTTCTCGCCCCGCGCGCGCGTCGCGCTGGTCGCAGAGCCCCCGCTGGGCCATGGGCTTCCATTTTGAACCCTGTTGCCCGCGAGGTTGTTTCCAGTCTGCCTGCTGATGTGCGTTCTGGATGGCCAACTGCAGCCCGTGCATCCGACGGCAAAGTATCTCGCGGGCAGCGCGGTTGATGAGATCCCCTTTCTGGACCGCGATGATTTTGTCGAAGATCATCGCAAGCAAGAGAAATTCCTGGGCGGCATGGCAGGTGTCGAGCCCCCTCCCTGAGATCCATGACCCTGGCGTCTCCGACGCCGCTTTCCCGTTAAGGTAGAGCCGGGCCAAGCGCGGCGCCGCGATCCTCGCCCTCGCGCCGCCGAGGTTCCACCCGTCGATGTCCCGATGCTTGCGCAGGTGGTCCAGCAGCGCGCTCCGGGGGCCCCGTCGTCTCCTTCTCGGTGACCTGGATGAGCTCCGGAACCTTCGAGGTCCTCCCCGAGCTCGCCGCGCTTGAAGGCCCCGCGGGCCCTGCGTGTAGCGGTGGCCCCGGGAAGTCGGTCTCCCTGCTCCCCTTGGCGGCGACGTCGCTCCTCGCGATCTCCATGTGCTCCTTGAGACGTTCCAGCAGCGCGGAGATCCCGCTGCTGAGCTCGCTGCTCCCCCGATGGGGGCCCCAGGGGCGTCGCGCCCCCCGCGGACAAGCTGCTCGCCGTCGCCCCCGTGCGTGGGGGATCGGAGCGGGGCCCGTGCTTTAGCTGCGCGATCTCCATGGCCAGCTCAACCTGCGACTGCGCCAACGAGCCCAACAAGTCCTGCATCTGGACGTCGTCCCCGACCTCCGAGACGGTGCGCCCGAACCCTTTCTCCGACGGGTCCGACTCCGAGTCCGCGTCTCCCCCGACGACCGACCGAACAGCTTGGCTGTGAGACCTCCAGTTGCGGCCGCTGCCCCGAACCGCGAAGAGGCCGCAGGCGATCAGGAGCATGACCTCCAGGTCGGGCTCCGCGAAGTAATTGCTCGGCCAACTCGCCCCGGCGCTCGTTCACGTACTCGGCGACCTCGACAACGTCCTACGCCGCGGAGTAGACTGCCCGCAGCGCCGCCTAAATTTTCAGACGCTTCCCAACGACATAGATGGCCCACGAAGCGCCGCCCCAATACCCCAAGGTGCCCCACGAGACGAAGGCGCCCACCAAGTTGATCGCCGTCGACAGGTCGGGGATCCTGTCCTTTCGCTTCTTTCCTTTGGTGGTGGTGGTCGTCGTCATTGTGGCCTGATTGTTTCTCTTCCGCACCACCGAGCTCGACTGCTTCTCGATATGTATCAAATCTGCGGTCGAGAAACCTGGCACGTCCGAGTCGTCGATATCGTTCTTGGGGTTCGAGTTGATCTTGGTACGAACACGTTCACAACTTGGACTCACTTCCGAGGGTCGGTCGCCGTCCAATGTGGGTCGTTCGCTTTTTGAGGGGACGCTCGCTCCACCAATAGCATGACCACTCCACGGCCACGGCCACCAGCGGGAGCATGTTTGCTTGTGTGGTAGATCCTGCATAATTTTTGAAAAAGGGCATAGCAGACTCGTCCAGCTGCGCACTCTCAAAGTCCGGCTCCAGACCATGGTGTCCGTTGTGCTGGTCAGTCGGGTCTTCACTGAACTGGGGAGGCTCAATCGCAACATTGACCTCGAAGTCCGAATCGTACAAAGTAGTTTCCTCCTCGGACGCGTTGGTATCCGCAGTGCTGTTCTCGTCCAGCGCCGCGAACTCCTTCACCAACGCGAGGCTGCCAAGCAGGCTCGCGGCCCACCGTGGGAACGCCGTGGCTCCCTGTGATCTGAAAGGGATGGTCACAACTGCTCGATCAATCCCTTAAAAACTTGTGCAAAGATATAGCAACAAACGGGGAGAGGGAGCAGGGGCCAATGTAGAAACCGATCGAAGATCACATACACACGTGTATGTGTGTATATATATATATATACATAACCGAAATAATAACATATGCGGATGAGGACTATGGGAGGCGGGCTAATACTACTAGTACTGACGGCCATAATACTAATACTAATATTCCGAAGAAGAACAATAATTAGGGGGAGGGCGATACATGGGGGAGGACAAGTGCCCTCCTCGGGCCCTGAAGGCCCCCTCTGGGGGCCTACAGGGCCCTTCCAAGGGCCCCGACGGGCCGCTCTTCTGCAACCCTCGCTGCCCCCCCTCCCTCTCCCACACTTGTCGCCCCCCATGAATTCGCGACCAACGTTTTCCTCGAGTTCGGCCTCGGGGTGCCGCTATACTGGGCCCCGGGGCCCGCAGAAACGGCCCCAAGACGACAAGCTACCCCCCAAGGGCAAGGGGGTGTGGGGGGGTGGGGCCCCTTGGATTAGGTCGGGCATGTCCTCCTACAGGTGGACTTTTGGAGAACACGTGCAAACATAGCCACCACATGTTCAA